CCTGTTAATGGGGTTGATATGATGGGAAAGATGGATTTGGATGGTCGAGTACCATCATCAGGAACTTTTACAGTGCTTTCCTACAATATTTTGGCTGATGTTTATGCCACAAGTGAAACATTCAGTTATTGCCCTTCATGGGCTCTTTCATGGCCATATCGGCGACAAAATCTGCTTCGGGAAATAGTTGGCTATCGTGCAGATATAATTTGTCTTCAGGAGGTAGGTATCACTCTGTCTTCATGTTTGTGTACAAATATAATTTTGTCTATAGTTGCGTTGGTGGCATATGTTAAAATTCAAGAAGTTTGCTCTGTTAAGAATGAAATTTTCTAAGCATTATAAATTTTCAGGACCTTGCAATACCGTATATCTACTTTAAAGTCGATAAAGAATGCAGTAAATATTTTTGAAGAAATTTGACTACATTTTAATAAAACACGTTTGGTAGATGGAAATACATAAATATGATATTTGGGTACTAGCTGCAGTACTCTGAGACCTCCATTTGGTGTTGGTATGGATTTCAAGTGATTCTTTGGACTAAACGGTGTTGTGTATTTACATAATCATAAGTTCATTGCCCGTAAGAATTCTTCATTTGGCATTGATTTTGTTTTGTAAGAGATCTGGTGCTGTTATGATGTCTAAAATGTAAGCTTATGTTTTTTTTAACCAATGTCAGTATTTACTTATTTTGGTTATAACTTTATTATTTATAAGCATGTTTCATTTTGTATTAATTTTGTAAATTTCTTTAAAAAGATTTGTCATACTGACTGAAACAATCTAGGCCACAGCACGTGTTAATTTTCTGTGATGTATGGAATATGTGACGAAAGTGGAGTGCCAAGCAAATGTTTATTGATTATTGATCACACGTGTCAGTAAGGCTCAAGTTAGACATTCAATTGTGCAATTTGAATGATATAGAGGATGCCTTCTAATTATATAAAAAAAGATGACACTAAAAATATTTCTATTTTCAGCTCAAAGAGATGAGTAGTATCCCAAATAATGAGAGATGCAATAGATAGGTCCAAGGAAACTATAAAAGAGCAAAAATTTAAAACGTTCTCTTTCTTGTTTATTCTTTCTGAAGTGTTGACTTTGTTAACTTCACAGCATTGTGAAAAATTGGGAATTTTCTCCAACTTTCTTTTAGTCAAAATATTGAATGGTCGTGTATGAAGCAGTTTACAAGATATTCATCTTTTCGAAACAGGTTCAGAGCGATCACTTTCTGGAATTTTTTGCTCCTGAACTTGACAAACATGGTTATCAAGCACTTTACAAGAGAAAAACCAATGAGGTTGATTTCACACTTTTCATTTGTATATTCCCTATATATAATATTTATATTCAATTTTAAGGTCTGTCTGTTCTCATCCTCTGTATTTATCTTTTTCAGGTCTACAATGGGAACATTCAAACAATTGATGGCTGTGCAACATTTTTTCGTAGAGATAGATTTGCACATGTCAAAAAATATGAGGTTAGGAAGTGTCTTCATCATTTTACATTCTGTGTGTTGCTGCGTCCTAAATGTATTTTGGCTTGTTTGCAGGTTGAGTTTAACAAAGCTGCACAATCTTTGACTGACCCAGCTACTATTTTAACTGCTCAAAAGAGAAATGCTTTAAACAGATTAATCAAGGTGATTAGCTTGGTGCTTCTTTCCCACCTCTTAGCCATGCATTTTGACTGCAAAGCTTGTTGTGAATTAATATGTAAGATTGTGCTGCATGGATTGTTAGGATGATGTTGCACTCATCGTAGTTCTTGAATCAAAATTCAGCACTCCAACGGTTGATAATCCCGGAAAAAGGCAGCTTGTTTGCGTGGTAAGAATTATGGAATGTTTGTTTAATGTTTCTGTGGTCTGACTTTGTCGTGCCTTCAATATAACTGCTAGTTAATATTATTGATGAGGCTTGTGAATTTACTATAAATATCGAAAGTCTATTTTTTCTTTCCAAAGGTTTTTCTTTTAGGACTGCTAAATATGCAGCAGTTTGTCATGCTTGCTTTTTTTGATGCATCATGGAAAACCTATTTTTCGGTGAACTTAGTGGGTTATTCTATGTCCAAAGCCTAGAATATGTTCGGTATTCTTAGACACCCTCATAGGTTTTGATTGTCTCTGGACACTTTTGGTTTCTGTTTCGAAATTTCAACCGTGCTATTTGATATGCTACTCTACAAGCAGAGTCATAGAGTTGGATTCTTTTGGTTGTTTTTCTGTAATTTGCAGTCGTTGGGGGAGCCAGCCTTGCAGTCTCCTTACCCCTTTTCTCCTGCTTAGATTCCAGTGTTTGCTAACGTTTCCTATTTCTGTTTATTAGGCTAATACGCATATTAATGGGAATCAAGATTTAAAAGATGTCAAACTCTGGCAGGTAATTTGATTTTCATTATACTATATTGTATTTTCCTTCTTTTTCCTTTTCTCCCCTTGATTATGACTGGTTTGGTTTAACATTCTGGAAACTAGGTGCATACTTTATTGAAAGGACTGGAGAAAATAGCTGTTAGTGCAGATATTCCAATGTTGGTCTGTGGGGATTTTAATTCTGTTCCTGGAAGGTTTGTTTTCTGCGTAGTTCTTTATTTGCACTTATTGTCAAATAGCACCATATGGTTATGTCAAAGATCTGCACAATTATCTTAGTAATCGAACGTTGTTGCAGTGCCCCACATCATCTCCTTGCTAGGGGGAAGGTGGAACCAACACATCCAGATTTAGCTGTAGATTCTCTAAATCTATGTCAGCCACATAGCAAATTGTCACATCAACTACCTTTGGTAAATCTTCTATCTACATTTTCAATGTCTGTCGATAAGTTCATCTGTTTTTCACCTTTAAGGTTGTGGTCAAGAATTAATAAATGGAGGTCGGCTTGGAAGTTATATTCCCTGTTGGAAAACTGAATGATGATTCCTTTTCAGGTTAGTGCATACTCCTACTTTGCAATAAAGGGAGTTGGTAACGGTTCAGATAAGCAGAGGAAAAGGCTGGATCCTACAACAAATGAACCCTTATTTACGAATTGTACTAGAGATTTTATTGGAACCCTGGACTACATTTTCTACACAGGTATATCTCTGCCTACAGATTTCTGTTCTTTTTTTTTTTTTTTTTTTTTTTAATTCATTTTATTCAACTGGGATGAATTTTGAAATGGAAATTTGATCACTGTTTCCCCAGCGGACACTTTAACAGTGGAGTCTTTGTTAGAGCTCCTGGATGAGGAGAGCTTGAGGAAAGATACAGCACTTCCATCCCCAATATGGTCCTCCGATCACACAGCACTCCTTGCCGAGTTTCGGTGCAAATCTCGGTCTAGACGTTAACCACGCATAGTGTAGGTAACTCCTTTCTACATCGTCTAACCATTAGTTATTGTCTTGCTTATCTTCTTTATTCTATCTTACATTTCATTGCGGGAAAAGGCAAATCTAAAAGTAAAATTAATTATTGGTTATTTGTAGTTCAGGCGTGGAAGAAAAGCATCGTAGCAAAGATGCAGAAGAAAGAGAAGTTTGTGTTTGTTGAGAAAGTAAATTGAATATAGTAGGAATGGTGGCGGATCATGCGGTGTTCAATGTCCACAGGTATCTCCACATGAGATCTCATCGTCACTATGATCTGCTTTTGTATTTGTGGTACCTTCTTCATCTCATAGTAAAAGTTTTTTTCTTCAATCTCATGCCTTAATCCCTTTGCATTGCACACCACTTTTGCTTCTTTCCTTTCACTCTTCAATACCAATTTCGTAACCTGGGCACAAGTGCAAAACCTTACCCCTCCCTCTGTAGAGCCCCTTTCTAAAAGAGAGAGATGCCTAAATGACCTTTGCAGCAATTATATTTTCTCTAATGTCTTTTTTTCCCCTTTTGCTTAGAGAGTGGGAATGAGAGATAAATATGCATGTAGTCGGGTTGATGGACGACTAGAGTAACGAACGAGAGAAGATTGTGAAATGCCCTACTAAGTATATGACAGTTTTGAAATAAGAAGCTTTGATAGTTTAATGCGCCTGGATTTAATGTATTGTGCAGAAGTATTAGAGTAGGATTAACAGCTTTTTGAGGAATGTGATGGAAGAAATAACTAGACTGTTTAGAGTTCTCTTATTTACATTGGTTAAGGATGTCAGCTTTGGGGTAGTTGAGTGGTTAAGGTATTTGTGGTGCAATTGGTGAAAGGAGGGCTAAACCATGTTCTATGGTTCTAGAATTTGATGACCGAGTCGAAGTGGTAATTTAAAAATTATTTTTCATAGACGGTTATTTTGATGAAAACAATTGTGTAGAATATGTTCTGGTACTTCTTATCTTTAAACATTTTTACTTGGTGATGAAAATATAACCACTATGGTAATGGTAATGAAATAAAGAATAAATCTATATTTTGATGGTTATATATGTAGAAATTAGATAGATTCCATCTAATCCAATGTTACCAATACGTTGAAACTTTGTTTGTTTTTGTGTTCAGGTAAGTGAACAAACCGAATATAAGCACATTATTTAGTAAATGTGTTGGAATTGTTGTTTAAAATTAATGTTTTTCTTTTAACTGGACTATAAACACGAGAACCGGACCCATTTTGGCAAACTGTAAAATTCTCTTACATTAACCATTCATTTTTCCTTTTTTTCCCCGCTCAATCGTGAGATGTGCAATTCTTAGGCGCAATTTTTTTTTTTCTTTTGATGAGGTAAAGTGATTTAATCTGCAATTTTTGGCCATTAAGTAGGGTACCTTTGGGAGTATTTTATAGTAAAAACTTCAAAAACTTTTGTCAAACCATGCAACAAGGAATAAAAACATCTATTGTGAAGTAATAAAATAGTGTTATGAAGAAAACAGTAAAAAGAGAGCAATTGGTGTTTAGGTTCACAATTTGTGAACAGAAAACACTTCGCTTTTAAAAAGTTCGAAACTAATTAATCTTGCAAAAAAGTTCGAAACTAATTAATCTTGCAAACAACGGTCAACATCAACTCAACGGAATCAGTCTTGATTCTTCTCCACAATCCATTAATATTGTAAAAGTCGAACTAGAGAGCTAGCCATATTCATCAATGTCTAATCTATTTGAGTTAATAATGTCGTTTCAAATCAACATTTTATATATGAAAAGAGTTATAGATATGAGAATAATCTCACTTAATCGCCAGACGAACACCGGGCGCAGTTGCAAATAAAACCAAATCCCTGGTATAGCAGCGTTCGCCGAGCCTCATGATCCATACTTGCGTCGATATAGCAGATCCGTAGCTCTTCATCTGTAGTTATACTATAATTGTTACTTTCTTTTAACATGAAAACGAGCTTATCCAGCCATGGTTGCAGAGATTCGATAGGTTTATGATAAATCAAAAAGCAGACTATTCCACAATACAAATCTCTTTCAGCAAGTTACATTCTTCAAAGTGTCAAAATCGAAACGTTTGTTTTATGTATAGCCAGCTAGATTCTACCTATGCTTTTCTCAAATGTATCTCAACCTTTAATTTATATTGAAACACGAGAAAATAACGTCAAAGAGACATTAAAGTCGAACTTACCGGGCTCAACATCACGGAGGGCCTTCAATCTCGCGTTTGCATTGTTTATCCATATAATGTGTGTATTTGGATCTGCAATGGACACAGCCATGATATTGTACTTAGCTAACATATGATTTTCTGTCCCGTATTATATACACATACCTAATGTCCCAAATCCCATTACATAATCTGTTATCTTTCCTAACATTAAACTGTAACCGACATCTACTAATGAATTCAAAGCTTAGATGCATTTTATGTTTCAACTAAGAAGACAATGCTCAGGAAAAAAGAACTAAACATGAGGGTAAAAAGTGGAATGAGAAAAAAGATGCAATCATGCAAGCAAAAGTTAAGGGCACTGACCACAGTCGTGATTATAGAAAGATGGTAGCATGTAAACAGCATTCCCGACAGCAGCTTCTGCTTCAACAGAGGCTGCTGCAAGAGAAAGAAGATCCTCATACCCTCCAACCAATTCGATTCGAAAGGCATTAATACGAATTCGTGCGAGAACTCCAGTGTACCATTCTTGAGTTAGAACTTGGAATATGTAAGTTAACAAGAAGAAGAAGAAAGAATAGCATGACAAGAAATATTGTCACAAATCTTTGCCAGCATGTAGTAGGATACAGAGCAATTGTTCGTCTGTGATGCTTGCGTTGACCAATGCTTTTCTCAGCAGGCTGTAACCTTCTTTTAACTGTACTTTTTAGATGAATAAAACTGTGTTCACATAGTAATTCGAGAATTCAAACAAAATATATACATCTATTTTATTTACTTATAAATAAATAAATAAGTAAATAAGAGATAGACTATCATTGACATTGAATATAAATAAAGAAGAAGAAGATTATATGGCAGGTGGGAGTTTAGCTTGATGCTTCAAATTGAGCCTCGCTATTTCAGTGGTAGAAACTCATCTTTTTGATTGATTATGATTGGAGGCACTTATAAATGGGGTTCCTGTGACTGTGATATAGTTCTTATAAGACTTGTTTCAAGACCTTTTTTAGTAATTGTTGATAATATTGCAGACTTCCTTCCTACTGGAAAATATATGCATATTTAACATTCAATGCAAACTTAAACTAGTCCCTGACAAAATCGAGCTTGCCAAAGAATACCATCAACGTTCTAGCTGAAAGTTCAATGAACTAAAACAATATGGATCGCTAGCTTAAACCTACAAAGCTAAAAATGAAAAAGTTGCAAGCTTATGAGGTGAAATATGAATCGCCAGTTAGTTCATGTAATAGAACGCTTTCAAAATAAACCTAAATGTAATGACGGCAAAATTTTGTACCCTCTGCTGGAGATAGACGAGAGACCATCATCATAACTTATCCAAAATGACATTATCAAAATAGTGAAGTATCTTACCTCCGAAACCATATGAGGAGACAAACTAGAAGGCTGAAGTATGTTAAGATGGTCAGAAGATATAGCTCCAGATATGACCATACAAGCCAATCGCTTCACCAAAAGAGGATATTTTAAGCCTCGCTCCCTTGACAAAGAGATGAACAGAAACAACTTGTCAAGTTATATGTACGACTACAAACTAATTTTTCATGTTGAGGGAACATTGAAAGGCATGTGCGTGTTTATCAGAATGTTAATTATTTTGTTGAGATTTTCTACCTTTACATGTTTAATTTTCTTGGAATATTAGAGAGAAATATCAGTATACAAGGCATTTTATTTCCCGAAAATCTAGAAGAAGATAAAAAAGAAGAAAACAAATCACATATGGAATTGAAAAAGAAAAAAAACAGCCTGTATTTACATGCTAATTACTAATCCTGTCTTCTAGTTTTCTCTTGATTGGTTTCTAGAGATACCCGTGTACAAAATTATTCCATGAATGCTCCACAAAATTCTGATGACAGTAGTTTAACATATGAAGAATTGAGTTCGGTTCAGAAATAAACATAGAAAGCTTCCTCTTGGCATATATCTAGGCATATCTCTTCGTTCTTTTTGTGGAAGAATTATTAATTTTGTAGATTATAGTCTCCTAATGATTGCATATCTTTGTCCATGAAACTGACAATTGTTCTTTTTGAGTTCAATAACACGACGAGGCCGCAATTCAAATATCTAATCTTGGGACATTCTTTTAAATATACCTTGACTATTATTCTTAACGCACATTTTATTTGGCCATCCAAAACAAAAAGGGGAAAGCTAGAGAATAGAAGAGGAGAGCAAATCACCGACATGGTTTTGGGGGCCAACAAAAAAAAAGGTAGGTGCAGTAAAATTATAGACTTGAGAAAGATCTACCAATGTGACAGTAAAACGTCCTTTTTACCCTAAAAAAACAAATAACCAAAAAGAAAAAGAAAAAAGCAGAAATAGGACAAAGAGTCCGACTTGATAAAGAAAAACAGACAATTAAGCAATGCAACTGGAAAGTCAAGCCTATAAAACTAAAGAGGACACTCCATGCCCATACCACAAATCAATCACATCATCAAGCCTTAAAAAATAAAAATCTTTTGCTTTCTTTTCAGATACTCCAAATTAATCATAATTGTATCGACTACAATAAAGCAGAAACTTTTGTGTGCATGTATGTACCGTGGGTAACATTGAATTAATTGGTGACATAAATGATCGAAAATTGAATGCACCTGCAATTCTTGTCGTAGTCTGACCAATCTGCTTGCATTTCGACATCATGAAAAACCTAACAGAATAAATAGATTTCTTTCACTCCAAAAATCAGATAATTATGGCGAGAAAATCCTAGACAGAAAAAGAAATACTGTAGTTTATGCCTCCCTAGAAAAATTTGATTTCTAGGACAAGATAGTATGTATGGTGTAGATAATAAAAGAAGACAAAGATGAATTACAGTTCTCCAACTTCAGTTCATTATAATTCAAAATATTTGAAAGATGTATAATTTATTGTTGTTAACGATATACTGTTCTTCATTACATTTAAAGAAATTGATCGAAATGAACAATAGAAATAATTTATACAACTAATACACTGAAAAGTATTACTTGATTTCAAATTTAGATTTTTAAAAGCACTAATCCTTTTGAACTTAAAATACGTCAAATATATAACCTAAGGAAACGATTTGACATTCAACATTTTATACCTCGAATCTTTTGGACGATCATGTAGAATCTAGAAATTTAGATACTAAAATCAAATTTATTCCAGAACTACTATTTTTTTTTATATCAAAGTTCCTTTTATTTCCACATTTCCATCAGCTTTTACATCAATCGAAATGAAATGATGGTGTGATTAGCAGAATAAGTTCTTTCAGAAGCAAAACAACAAACATATGGCGGACAACGGACAAAAATCGAAATCTTCTGAATAAAGAAGGTACTGCGACAATTTAAACTAAAGAAAGAATTATACGTTCAATTTAGTCTTACATAAGTTCATAAATTCGATTTTATCGAAGGATTCGAACCGCCAATTCAACACTAAAAAGGAAAAAACTAATTCATGTAAGAACGGCTAGAGATTTCACAAAATAGAATTAACGCAAGACAGATTAAGAATCAAACAATTTCTAAAACTGATTAACCTAACATAAAACATACTAATCAAAGAACGAGAGATTATATCGTATTGATACCTTGGAATTTCGTTCACACTCTTTGCAGCAAAACGTTGCACGATGAGCATCGGCGTTAGCATTAGCATTTCTCTGCAGCTTCCGCAAGCAGAAATTGCACACATGGTGAACAGAGGATAGCAAAGGATGAGCGACAAGTGGTTGGGCTGTGTGTATGAGATCTCCAGCGCCGATCTTGCGAGTGGCGAATACACCACGACCGGCAGAACCGGTGAGCGAAACTCGTATCGGAGGCGGACCGCTGGGGACGTCGGAATCATCGTTGTGGCGTCCAGCGGTGGAGGAGATCGAAGGCGGAGAGGGAAATGGCTTGGTTTGAGAGTACGCGAATTTGAACTGGGAAATCCAACGGCGGTAACGCGCCAACGAAGACGACGTCATTTCTCTCTCTACTGCGTACTCGAGAGAGAGAGAGAGGAATTAGAGACAAAATAGTTGGATTTGGGCCTACTTGGGCTCATCGGACGAATTTTCACTGGGCCTGTTCGCATTAATGGCCCAATTTTGTCATGCTTGGAATTAATTAATTAATTTAAGGCGGAAATTATTCTCTTTTCCCATTTTTACCCCTAAACTTGCCAAAAATTACGTTGCATTCTATCCATATGTCCAACTGTCCAAGTGTTTTATTATTATTATAATTATTATTTTAAATTAAAATTTAGCCTTTTATTTTAAAATAAAAAAAATCAATTTATACTCCAAACTTAGACGGTTATATCCACTATTTTCATTTAAATATTGAATTAAAAAAATTGTTTCAAAATTATTAATTTGTAAATTTTACACGTGTAAAACATTTTTTTAAATAAAAGAATTAACGTATTATTGGAAACAAATATTGAAATAAAATGAATAAGAGTATTCATTATTCTCCAAATTTTTTTCGTTTTAATTTTTGTTATTATGATTAAAAAATGAGAAAAACAAGAATGGAATTAACAAAATCCACTATTTTATAAATATACATAACGAAAATTAATTTTTTTTTAAAAAAAGTAGCGGAAAATATTGGGACTAATAAATAAAAATTAAAATGATATTTAGAAACGAGAGAATTACAATATTTACCGTTACATAACTCAAGTTTAGCCCAATGTTGTATCATGTTAATATATTTAGGTTAAAAGAACGTCATTAAACTTGCTATTTAAGATAAAAATAGATGAAATTTTCTTTAATAAGTCTCTTTTACCATTGGATTATCGAGCGGTGTCGTCCAATCCCAACCTTTCATTTGTTTGATCATTTTGAATCTGCTTTGGCGGGATAAAACTATCCACGGACAATCCAGGAACATTAAATGCCACATCATCAATACTCCAGCTCTCCTGCATACGTGTGATCATAGGACCAGTTTTGAGATCGTCTCCAAATCGTGTGATAACAACGTTGGTTTCACCAGAGTGGGCGATCATTACACCGTCAACCGGTCGATATTCGTCAATTTTTGTGGACATAGTCGTTTCCCAATACATTGGGTGAGAACCAGGGGATTGAATTCGAGTCAACGAGGAATCTTCTAAATACACTAAAAGTCCACGTCGTTGACAGAAGTAGCCGTAGATCGCGTGCTTGATCATCTCGGCTGTGTTGTCGCTTCGATCGACGAGGTCCGTCTGATCTGCTGACAATTTTAAGACGAAACAATCAACCGCCATGATTTGCTTTTCTCCCATGTACTGTGCTGGAGAGAATACTTCAGAAATTGCTAGTGGATCAAGTCCCTGTTTAAAAGCGTTGCATAACATAAGTCAAAGTCAACATCTTCCAACATAGATTTTTTTAGTAAATAAAAAATAAAAAAATAAAAAATTCAACATCTTCCAACATATTATTATTTTTTTAAAACAAATAATTAAATTATTAATTATTATACACACCCTTCATCCACCTAACTTGGGTCCAGTGTCTTTACTGGCACACCGTGAGTGACTGACTCTGATATCATTTGTAACAGCCACAACCCTAGTCCACCACTAACCCGTGTTATCCTGTTTGGGCTTTTTCTTTTGAAAAAAAAAAAAAAAATCCTAAAAACGAAAATGGAAAATGAAATATTTATTGAAAATTTGGTTAAATGAATGTCGTAATTCCCAAGGGATGGGCGTAGGGATTAGACTTTGAAACGTGTGGAGAAAGATAGGTTGTAGCTCTTCTCTATTCAAGCACTCAAATAAAAAGCTTTAATAATTTAAACAACTTTTTTGTCTCCCACAAATGGTAGGGTCTCAACATCATTCTAGGGTACCCTTCATATATATATATATATATATATTTTGAAGGGTGGGGCTAAATTAATAGGCCTTCCCACGTCTTTAATAAATAACAATAAAAATTGGACATTTGACTGTTAGATGAACATGACTCTCCACAATGGTATGATATTGTCCACCATAAGCCCTCATGACTTTGCTTTGGGCTTCCTCAAAATGCCTCGAATACCGATGGAGAGAGTATTCTTTGATTGATTATAAACCCATGATCATTTCTTAAATTAGTCGATGTGTGACTTTCATCATCTAACAATGACAACATGAGTATAATTTGGCGCGTAATGTATCTTTCTTTAGTCTTAAAGTAGTTAAAATCTCGACCCTAAATTTATAATGTTATATTCAAAAGTATATTGATGTCGTCTCTATATTTCCTTAAATATCATATTTAATCTTTCTTCAATATTCATTATAAGATATTTTAAAAAAAATTAATTTATAAAATTTAAGGACAATAATCTATAAAATACCATATTTAAATTTTCGAAACTAAATTTAGATTTAATTGAAAAAAATTAAACCTTATTTGATAAGTATTTTATTTTTTAATTTATATTTTTAAAAATTAAAGTTACAACTATTAGTTTTATATGCAGATTTCTTTGTTTTGTCATCAATTTCATAAAAACATATTTAAAATCTAAATTAAAATTTAAAAATGTAAAAAAAAAAAAAAAAAAAAAAAAAAAAAAAAAAAAAAAAAAAAAAA